CCCTTAGATCAGTCCACTTTTTTTAAATTACTGTGGTAAAATGCAGTAACGTTTACCATTAGTCACATTGAGCACATTCACAGTGGTGTGCTACCATCACCACTAATCCAGTTCCAGAACGTTTTCATCACTCCAAAGGGGAACCCTGTACCCTTCAAGCAGTCCCCCCACAACCCCACTCTGGGTTGGCCTATTCTAGACATTTCATGGAGGTGGCATTACACAACATGGGGCTTTTCGTGCCCGGCTCCTTTCATTTATCATGTTTTCAGGGATCAGCCGTGAGGTAGCACGTGTCACTACTTCACTCCATTCTATGGCCAGATACTATTCCACTGAATGGATATGCCACATTTTGTCCAGTCATCAGTTGATAAATATTTGGTTGTTTCTACCTTTTGTTAATTATAAATAATGCTGCTATAAACATTCCTTTGCAAGTTGTTTGAGCACCTGTTTTCATTTCTTCTGGGTCTCTATCCAAGAGTGGAATTGTTGGGTCATGTGGTAAGTCTATGTTTGACTTATTAAGGAACCACCAAATTCAGTTCACATCGTCTTACACTGTTGTCCACCTGTGGCAGGTGTGGCTTAGCCTAGCTCTGCAGATGGGCTGGTGGTTCCTCCTGCCCACATTGTTCTATTATAAACTCACACATTCAACCCCTTCTTCTGCCCAAACCCCACAGTCACAAGAGAACAGACTGGAATCAGGACAGGGCTGCTCAGGACTGTGCCAGGGGAGAAGTGGGGGCACAGGCGTACATGCATGATCACTTAAGGTGGCAATACAGAATATTCCTATGCTAAGGAGCAGGCCTCCCTTCTGGGACAGGCTGTCTCCATCCTGCAGGTTTTCTGGCCACTCTCCCTTCGCAATGGACTTCATGGACTGAGCAACTTTAAGCCCTACAAGGATCTTGACCAGTCATGCCCAGCAGCTTCCTTGTTGATGAGGCTGCCGTTATCTGCCATTGACAACATTGTATTGCTGGAAAAGAGCAGTTTGCAGAGCAGGAGAACCGAGGCCTGCACAGTTGTGCTGACCCAGCAAGTCCGGAACAACGCACTTGCTGGCAGTACACGTGTGCCCAGCAGCACCTGGGACGCATCCCTCAATGCAAGGTCCCGTGTATGAACTCCCACAAGCTCCCTCCCTGCCCTCCAGGAACTTGGATTCTAAAATTGGAGACCAGTACATATGGCCTAACTGCTGCATTAAACTTGCAGGATTTAAACATAGGGTTAGAATCCAGCCTCTAGAATGTAAGACAGTCAGGAAGAGGACGCTCAGAACAGAAGCATTCTTATGAAATTAGGAACTATGCTAAAAATGTATAAAGAACATAAACCAATTCAGTAATAAAAGCTCTCCTGAACCATCTCTTTGGGAGGTTCTTAGCACTTTACTAAGAAAGGATGGAAAATTCCTTCTATAAGCAAAGAATACAGTGTATGCTCCCCACATGCAGTGCTTCACAGCTTGCAAAGTGCCCCCATGTACCTCATTCACCATGAGCAAGGGCAGCTTGCTAAAGCTCAGGAGAAGACCCCCTATCTTGGCTACAAACTCATCTTCTGGATTTCTAGTGCCTAGCACAATGCCTGAGGTGGAGTAAGCAGGGAGTAGATGGTGAATGGAATGATTAAACCATTTGCCTTCACTCAGAAAGTAGGCAAAGTATCTGTTACGGAGTCTGGGCCCTACGGACCTCAGGCTCTTGGACTCAGACCTCAAAGGAATCAGGAGAGATCTCAAGTGGGCTCAGAAAAAGTCAAGCAGAAATCCAGGGGAATGTGTGGGGACCATCATTAATGCCCCCTTTTCTTTCCTAACTGTCATTCAGTTAAGGGATGTTGTTAGACTTCAGTGTTTGCCACTTCAGTGCAGACCAGACTCTGCGGCCTAGGAGAGGGGCCAAGCTGCAGACACGGGGCTGCGAGGAGATGGCCTTGAAGCCAGTCAGCATGTGCTCTGCACAGTCAGTTCTCTGCACTGCCCAGTCCTACTCTCCGGCCGAGCCGGCTTCTCCTCCACCCGCAGGGCTGGCCTGTGTTGTGGGATGAAGGAGAGCCTGCACCACCCACGGGAGGAGAGGATAACCCATGGGCTGCCCTAGGACAGCTCGTGGGGTCACAGGAAGGAGCTCCCGCAGGGCTGGGACGGGAGCGGTGGGGCAGGGAGAAGGAAGGGGTCTGGAGCTCAGCCGCATCCCACAGCCCCACGTTCCTGGCTGCGCAAGAGAGAACCTTCACTGCGCAGAGGGGACCTGGGGTGGGGGGGCGCCTTAGTGTCTGAAGGGGAGTTACCTGCCGATTGTCTGCTTGGATGCCTCCAGCAGGGCTCTACTTTCTGCTCTGCTGGAGGCTCCCTGAAGAAGGGAACTGGCCCTCCTCTGTCCCCTCCATCATCTCCCGCCAACTTCCTCCCGGCCAGTATTCACTCCACAGGGCTTACCCCGAGACACTCAAAGGACACAGAAATGCCTTCCACCCAGCCCCGTGTGGGGAGAAGCCATCCGGAGCCCTGGTTTTCTGCTTTTTTCATCCTGCAGCCACCCCCATCCACACCCCCACCCCAGGTGTCCATTTCCAAGGGGAAGTCCACCACTGTCATCCTCTCATTCATTCCCTAATAGCCATTTGCTCCTCTTCATTTTCCCACCAGCCTTAATCCCACACCAAGACTGTAGAGCCAGATGCTGGAGGTACCCGGAGCCCAACCGAGGAAGGAAGGGTAGAGTCGGGGGCTTCTCTGCCGACGCTGGGTGCATGCCCAGCAGGGGGTCTCACGTCAGAGGGGCCCTGTGAACACGCGGACTTGAGTGGGGGGCTAACGATCCCATTCCTTCTCTCTCCTCCTCTCTTTCCAAGCTGACTTGGAATGTGAGAACACATTCCCTGAGACTCTGAGGCCCCAGGTGACTCTGGAGCCCCCCGCATGCACACCACTGTACCAGACTCCACAGGAAGGGAGGGCAGAGCCTGCACCAGGAGCAGGGCACATGCCCACCAGGAGGCCTCTGCCAGGATCAGAAGGGGGACACCCTCAGAAAGGCTTCCAGAGGACTCGGATCCAGCACAGAGGGACTCAGAGGCAGTGCCAAGTGGCCAGGGAGGCAGGGAGGCCATGCAAGCTCGAGAAGCAGCAGAGGCAGGCCCTGGGCAGTGGGTAGCTGGGCCTGGAGGCATCTCCAGCTGCAGGCAGGGCTGCAGAGGCAGGCCTGCACGAAGGCCAGGGCTGGGGCTGCAGGACCCACACCCAGGCCCGGCAGCCACAGGCCACACATCCAGCCCGCACAGCAGCCGTGGCTCCTGCGGAACAGAGAAGTGCCTGAGTCACTGCCTCTGATGGGCTCTGCTATTTTTATGTCCAAGGCTGGATAAAAATAGCTGTCTAAGCTAAGGTTTTAGCTGCAGCCAACAAGACATTAGGTATACCTAATGCCCACAAGCGATAAGCATGTGTCTCTTCCTGTGTCCCTTTTCTGCCATTCCATGACATGTTTAATGAGAAAGCACGTAGGACGCGGCGGCCATGAGTACAACCCCTTAAGAACACCTCAGATTACCTCCCAAACTGGGGCACACCCACGGGGCACGCCAGGGAAGTGTGCCCAGTCAGTGGGGTCCTGAGTGTCATCTGCAAGGCCTGGAGGAGTTGCCCCAGGGCCCTGGGTGGAGAAGATGTCTAAGGGAACATGCTTTCCTGGCCAGCCAGTGCTTAGAAAGCGCCCCGCACTCCCCGTGGCCCCGGGAGAGCGTGTCCAAGCTGGACCTGGCCTCCCCCCTGCATGTGGACCCTTGGCTTTCACTGTCCAACACTAAGAGGGACATTAGTCCAGGGCACCCAGCAGAGCGTTCTAGGGGTACCAGCCTGTCCCCACCCCCAGTGCCACCCTGAAGGAAGCAAAGCATTCACGGGCACAGGGGCAAGGCCTGCCTGTCCTGCCCAGTGGCCCCAGGGCAGCAGGCCTTTCTCGTCTCACCTCCCAGCTCACAGAAAGCTGATGAGACTTAAGCCAAGGTGCAGCGTGGGACTGTGGGCATGTGTGAGCAGACGGGAGGTGCCAGCCTATTCCGACAAGTTTCTCAGCTCTTAAAATAAGCAGCATCTGAAGCTCTCAGTGCTGCACGAGGAGCTGGAGGACAGGTGCACCCAGCCCCTCCACCCTCACTCTGCAGCCTCCTCAGCACAGACCCCCACCTGGACCACCTGGTGTGGCAGACCTGCTGGGCCTTCCCCAGGCCAGCGGGAGGCACGGAGCTCCAGGCAGGGGACGTGAGTGGCTCCCAGGGACTCCCATGCAGAGACAAAGGCAGAAGCCCCACAAGGTGCCTGCATTCCCCGGCTACCAGGGCCAGGGGTCTGTCCGCAGAGCCGCTTGCCTCAGTGCTCGGTGGCAGCCACATTGTAGGCCTGGCCCCCAGGGTGAGAAGAGCCCAGAGAGGCCTTGGGGAAATGGGTGGCAGACCCAGCTGCCCAGCTGGACCCTGTGACAGGTGGGGGTGAGCCCGCACCCACAGAAGACATTTTTCCTCTCAGGAAGAGTGAGTGGGGAGAATGTCCACTTATCCCTGGACACCCAGCCTCCCAGGGCTCCTACTGCAATTAGAGGTAGCTGAGAAAGTCACAAATCAGAACCTCAACCCCACCCGACATCTAAAGCCCAGGCGACTATTCTTAGCTCACGCCAGAGGCTTGGCGGCTGTAGTTCCATGCATCTCCCTCTGGTCAGCGTGCCGGGCTGGACAGCAGGCCTGATGCCAGAACTTCAGCCCCTCTGCTCTCTGATAGCTCTGGTTTCAGGCTATGGCTATCTTTCCTGTCCTCACCCTCTTGGGGTTCTCTAGCCCTCCTCTGGGGCCTCCTGTGCCCATGCCCCCTAGGGCATCTGTGAGGCCCACCGGGCCTGGACGAATAGCAGGCCCCAGGGGTTGCCAGGAAAATTCACCCCACTCTGGCTGTCTGCTAACTGCTTTTTTTTTGGATCTTCCAGTGAGAAGCGCCACCTTCAAGTTAATGTCACCAACCCCGTGCAGTGCAGCCTGCATGGCAAGAAGTGCACCGTCTCTGTGGAGACACGGCTCAACCAGCCAGAGCCCGACTTCACCAAGAACCGCTCGGGCTTCATCCTCAGCGTGCCCGGGAACTGACTGTTCACCAGACGAGGCCTCCCCCGGGAGCAGGGCTGCAGAGCCTGGAGCCGCTGGCCCAGGGCAGGCATCGCCTCTGCTTAGCATCCTAGGCTCCTATCTAATTGCTGAATCCCTGCTGCTTCCCGCTAGAAATCAGCTCGCAAGGGTCCGTGCCTGGGGAGGAGTCCCTCTTCTGCCTTCTCTAAGGCTCCTCTGCTGAGGTGTTCTTGGCTTTTTGCCTTGGGTCTCCGTCTTCTCTGTCCTGACTTTCCATGGTCCTCACTCAACAGACCAAAGAGCCTGGTGCCCTGCCCCAGATGCCCGGGCTGACACAGAGACCACGTCCTGCCGCAGGCAAGATAGTGCCTCAGTCAGTGCAGGCCTCCCTCAGCTGACCAGGTCAGCCCACAGCATGCCTTGACTTAGTGACCAGCTGCTGACCCTCCAAGGGGTGGGACGACCCAGGACACAGTTTCCCCAACCAAAGATAGGCTCCCCAGGTGGGGGGCAAGCAGCTTGGGTGGAATAGCTGAGGATGCAGCCCTGCTCTCTGTGAGCCCAGCCTGCCACCCCTTCCCTGAGGTGACCATCGCACCCGTGACCTGGCTCAGGGAGCTGCTCAGAGCTCCTTGGCAGACCCCTGCCCCCCTGCCCTTGCAGCCAGCCAATGCCACCAGGTGAGCAGGTTCACCTGTAGGGCCAGCCCCTCAGCCCCAGGCCAGTGGCCAGGGCTGCCCAGTCCGCCCTGCCCAGAGCTGCCCCTGGGCCTCCTGGCCCTCTCTCCAGAACGGCAGCGTGGGACCATCTCACTCAGCCACACAGCCTGTGCCCATGATTGTCTGTACTTATTTTTGCAATTTGCAGGGTTGCTCATCAGACCTCGTGTCTGCTGTACCCACACTCTTGTCAGGAACACTATTAAGAAATGGAGCTGCAGGGGCGACAGGAGCGCTGGGGTTTGGAAGTTTCCCCTGCTGACACCTCCCTCTCAAGTGATCTGGAGAGCTAGGGTGGGGCAGGCGGGGCGGGGCGGGGCACACGGAATTTCGGGAAGTAGAGCAATAGAAACAGCACAGGGTCCTGGCACTGCAGGCCAGGCCAGGATGCCCACCCCCACCCTGCTCAGAGCCCTGGCGCAGCTGGGGCCCAGGCTGCAGGTATTCGGACCTCATGCCAGGTGAGCGCTGCTGTCTCACCTGTCTCTGCCCAGAAGAAAGCATATGTGCTTTGGATGCATCATTTCTGGGACCACCATCCTCCCAAGCCTCAACCTCCGGGCAGCCCAGGGCCCCTGACCAGAAGCATTCAAGGAAAGAGAGGCTCAGGCAGCTGTGTGCTGAGGTGGCTGAGAGTGAGCCCACGCCTCAGGAGGGGCCTGGCAGGGGCTTAAAGAGGGACATGCCACCGTTTTCTTCACTTTCTGCTAGATGCTGCACCCTGCCCTACCTCCACCCCACCCAAACTCCTATCCTGATACCCTAACCTTGCAAAACACACCAACACCTGAGGGCAGCTTCCAACGCCTCGCCGGTACCTGACATGATTACCTGGCTGACCCCCAGGTGGTCCCAGCAGCCTGCACACCCCCCACTCCTGGTCCCCAGGGCTCACAAACATTTGCACCATGTGCAATTTGCAACAAAGAATCCTACTAGCATCCTGTCCTTGGAAACCCGTTCTCCTTCTTGAAACCTGGTCAGCAGCCTGCACAGCACAGAGGTGCCACCAGCCCAGTTTAGCAACCATCACAGTTTTGCCAATCACCCCATCACTAGCTGATCCATCTTAACTGTAACATCACCTCGCCTTCCCACTTACTTTCCCAGAGTTGCTACTTTATACTAGTACATGCAAATGTATGTTTTAGACACACCAAAATGGAACATGCCAAACAGGTGCCTTTTGGAGGCTGGAGGGGAGAAGGAGGGGTTTGGAGTCCTTCCTCCCATCTTTGGATGTTGCTGGTGGCCCCTCAGCCCAGCACCAGGGCCTCCCAGCTGAGAGCCTCTCAGAAGACCGCCAGCTGTCGACAAGCACTTTTTCGTGATGCCCTAAAAGTCACAGTGTGTGACAACTGAAGAAGGATGAGGAATTCAGGGTATGGTCACGGTAATGCTTCCAGGGTGCCAAGGGGGCGGCAGGAAGACACAGTGATTGGATGCGATGAAGGGTTTCTCTTGATTTAATTAAATGCAGTTTTATGGTTTGGTGCATATATTCCTATTTTCCATTAAATTAACTTTATTTCTAAAGCATATTTTGATTTATCAAGACCAATAAAGCATTAAATCTTATTTTTGAAGGTGTTCTGCTTATCTATAATTGAAAACCATAATTTGTGAAATTTTAGCTTGTATAAAGTCAACTGTTATCCCCGAGGATGGGAGGGAGCATTAAGCACAAATAAGTAAAATGGAGGATAATTTACCTGAGGCTTCTGAACAAACACATTAACTAGTGAGCAAGAAGAAAGCCGGGAGGAGTAAGGGGGGCTGGGTGTTAAATCTGAACACTTTCTTGTACCATCCCCAAGCCTGTGCACTAGACTCAAAGTTCATTGCTCTCAATGAACTTCCTGAAATCAAGGCATGTATGCAGATGACCCTTCAACAACATGAGGGGGGCACCACCACCCCGCCTCAGTTGAAAGGCCACATATAACTTTTGACTCCCCAAAAATAACTAACAGCCTACTGTTGACCAGAAGTCTTACTGATGACATACACATATTTTGCATATTATATGCTGTAGTCTTACAATAAAGCCAGGAAAAAATTTTTTTTTTCTAATTGTCACATTTCCAAACAAATTTTCCACTACACTTACTGAAGAAAATCTGCATGTAATTGGACCTCACAGTTTAAACCCATGTTCCTATATTGAAGGAAAGGCTCAGATTCCTATAGCTGCGGCTTGGAAAAGAGCCTGAGTGAAGGGTGCCAACCAGCCTCTCCCCAAGCTGGGTAGTTGGGGGATAGTGGGGGTGGCAGGTGGATGAGGGAGAGAGAAGTCAGGACCTCTCAGAGTGGTGGGGGAGCTTCAGGCAAGCAAGGCCTGCGAGGGCAACGATGCCCTGGCCCCCAACCTTGCAGCCACAGGATGGCGCCCGGTCCCTGGTCCCTGGTGGGAGCCGGCAATACAGCCTCTGTGACTCAGATTGAGGGGATGGCCTGAGGAGGGCAAGTAGCCCTGATCTCCCAGGGAGCAGCTTGAGCAGAAAGGCCTTCCTGGTGCCCAGGTTATCTCCGGGTAATGGAGTGCCCGTCCACGGAGGGTCTGGTCCACACCGCTCTAGCCCAAGGCTAGGCTGCTGGCATGATGTGCAGAGACCACTGGCAGTACAGCTGGGATGCGACCCCTCCCTTACCACTATTTCTGGTTGGGGTGGCTGTTTATCTGGGAGCCCCAGGGCAATATTCTTCTCTTAGAAACCCACACAGAAGTAAACTGGCAGCGGTGAGCCACATGGACAGAGTCTACTCCTATTGGCCTGGAAGCCTCTGGGCAGTAGGCACTGAGCAGGGCCAGGCCCAGGACACATGGGGGCAGCAGCCAGAGTCAAGCTTCACTACCAGGGTCTAGGCCTGGTGCCCCTGCAGGACCCACTTGGCCAGCCCTCGCCTGGCAATGCCTGGGCCTGATCCTCCCTGGCCACAGGTCCCAGTCGCCCAGCTTCACCAAGCTAACGGAGCCTTTGGGGAGCAAATCCTGACCCCAAACAGCAACTAAACCAGAGTTGACTTAACCTATGCTTCTGTTAATCACCTTAATGTCAACACAAGCTTGTTAATCCCTCTCCCCTAACCCTCCCCTCCCCATAACACAAATCCAGTTATGTTCTGAGTGCAGAGATCATTTATAAAAGAGGCCCCCAGCCCGCTCATGAATGACATGCCCACAAAAAGAGGTCTATGTAATGGATGGTCAGTGCATTTTATTTAATCAGCACAGTACAAAAATAAATAAAAATAAGGGAAGGGGAATTAAATTACAGCCAAACTGAGCTTCATGACCTTGTCAGATTATAAACCACACATACTTTACAAACACACTACACATACATACAAAATGAGACAAATATAAATTAATATTAACAATACCCACAGTCTGGTCAAAGAATAGCTACAGAAGAAATTGCACTAAAAACCAACATACATCGCACGCATGTAATTAGCAGTTTCAAATATACAGCTATGAATAATCCCGAGTGAAAAAAATGGCACGTTCCCTTTTCATTCCAAGTTTTAACAACTATTGGAACAAAACTAAATACTAATAACTGCATGGAAATAATCTATCAACCCTGCAGGTTTACAAGAAAAAGAGAAAAACCAAATCCTGAATATTATTCCTGTGACTTGTTCTGTGCACGGGTGTAATTTTCACAGCCATCTGTTCTAAGATTATTTTTCTTAAGACACAAAATGCTCCTGGTTTGCATGCACAATATCACTGTAAAAGCAACAATTAAAGAATAAGGGGTAGGTTTTCTTTTTTTGTAGGTTAGTTTTTTTCTTTTTTTTTTTTAATTGTCCTAAAAGTAGTCTTCATAGCAGCATGTCAAATGGGTTCATTGCTTGCACACTCAAGTATCTCGGTTCCTTTACACAATACTGATGACCAGTGCAAGGGCGCGGAGGAGCCCACGACAGGCTTCACACTGACTGAACTAGAGCTACTTCCTCAGCCCCCAACCACTCCGGAAATTTGCACCTCCTCCAAGGAATAAAAAAATAAATATGGAGAAAGAGAAGGAAACACACAAAACTGGAATCCTGTGGATGCAACTGAATGGTTTCGGGCCAGGTTTAGCCGGCCGAATGGCCAAATGGGTGACCACACGCGCGCCCCCCTCTTGAGACGCAGCACCAGAACCTCCCTCTTGCTGCTGCCCCCACGGGCCTCCTACCTCAGGTCACACATGGCGGCAGGATCTGAGCGCACAGGCTGTGACAACTCCAGCAGAGGAGAGGTGCTGCAGGGAAGTCTGTGCAGCAGCCGCGGGTTCCTTCCAGCTCCGCATCAGATCATCTGGAAGTCCGGGAATGGCTCAGCGAGGGACGCGGGGCGCAGCAGGGCAAACGCTTTCCCGCAGGGGTAGGCCCTCTCCCGCATATCCGGAGCAGCACGGATGGCGGGCTCTGCTCCAGGCCTCTTAAACCGGGACCTCAATTTCACAGCTTTCTCCCATTTATGTGAATTTCAGTAGTGCTTGTGCTCAAATCAGCAGCCACCTGGAACCTAATCCTACGTAAAGAGACCCTCTGCTTCCCCAAGCCCCTCTTCCAGCCTCCCTCGGGGATTGGGACCGGAGGAGAGAATTCTCTGTAGCATGTTCCCGATGGTCTTTGTTCCCAAAGCCAGAGTGATGGGCCATGGAGGAAGACTTGCTCCCTTCTCTTGGTCCTCTCCCAAGTCCCAAGCCACAAATCTGGGAAAATTAGAAAGAAAATTGATTAAGTACACATCATGTGTTTTTACAGCCACTAGGGTAAGGCGGAAACCCAACCAGCAGCTGCAAATGATCAGCTGGAGAATCAGCAGGCTTCCAAAGCCATCAGGAGTTCTAGTCCCATCGTGTAATTGTCTCCAAGATCCAGCTGTCTTGCTGGGCCTCACAGGGCAAGGCTTCCTCTTCAGAAAAAAACTGAACTGTGTGGAAACAGCTTTAAGTTAAGGGGGGGTGGGGGGAGCAGGGAGGGGTTCATCATCACATCACCCTGATCCCACCAACTTTGCCAGACCTATCATGTATGCCACCAGCAAGGGGCCTTAGCCCCTAGGTGGGCCCCGGCCTGGTCTCAGGCATGGCAGCCCCACCTGCCCACAAGGCAGGCTGTTGATCCACGGGCACCTGCAGCTCTCCTGGCCTCTGCCACAGGGTGAGCTGCATTAATTCAAACAAAAACTCACCCAGGGAGGTTGTCCCCAGCTTCACCCCACCCCTTTAGCTGGAACCCAAAATGAAAAGAACTTAACGGGTCAAACCAGCTCCTTAACCAACACTACCAACAGGGCTGGGAGCAGAGGCAAGGGGGTTGGGGGTCAGTTCCATGTTTCTGCTGAAGGAAAGTCCTCCTCCCTAGAAAAGAAAAAGAGCAAACCCAGTCCTGCATGTCCTACGACAGGACACAATCTTTTTGTACCAAGCCGGTTTCTCCTCGATTGAAGAGGTTTTCCTAGGGCGGTGGGCATCTTGCCTCACAGCCCCCCTCGTGGCTCAGTCAGGGTGGCCGGATCAGTAGCCACCGAGAGAATGGATGGATGACCCAAAACAGGAGCCAGAAAAGGGCCTCCAACCAGAAATGCCAATTCCTCCTTGGGCCAACTGGCAGGGGCCCCTCTCCAGCTCCCATGCAAGGAGCAGCGGGCAGCCTCACCTGCCCTGGTCCAGCAAGGGCACAGGCCACAGAGGCAGGGCAGTCCTTTGAATTTCTCCAAATGAGAGACCAGTGGCCTGGGTGGCTCTGAACACATCTTCTGGGTTTTGCACGAGGTTTGGGAGTTCAAAAGCGCCCAGAGTTCTCTGCAGGACTGAAGAAAGCCCCAAGGAGAGAAGGTGGGAAGGGAGAAACCCCGGTGGCTTTGCTAGACACATACTGTACACAAAATCTGCTTTAATAATAAATTTTTAAAAATCAATTGAATCCTTGAGCCAGGATGTGGGCTACAGGGCTCACCGATCGAGCCCTAGGAGGAGCCGCTTCTTGTCCTCCTGGCCACTCTCATTCTTCAGGTCGGAGAACACCTGTGTGAAGTAGTGTGGGTCAGCGTTAATCTGCAGCATCTTGGAGCTCATGAGGTTGATGACAGAGAGGCAGCGGTCCCAAAAGGCCTCCTTGCAGCTCTCCACCAGAAAGGGCTTGAGCGGATAGGAGATCTCATTGCCCATGTAGGAGTAGGAGAGGTATAGGCAGGTCAGCAGGACGGCCTGGAGCTCATGGTCGGAGCCCACCTCAGAGGAGATTACATCCCTGCAGAGCATGTAGAGGAAGACCACGTTGGCAGGCGTAATGAAGCCCTGGTCCTGCCAGCCCTGCAGAAGCAGCGAGCGGTCCACGCTGCGCAGCCAGAGCACAGGGTCCGTGGGGGACAGGTGCTTCAGGCGGTAGCACCGGCGGCAGAGGAACTCGCCCAGGCAGCGCAGCAGCTCACTGGTGGACGCCTGGACGATGACCCGTTTGGGCGTCCCTGCGGAGGTGACAGCAGGGTGCGGGGCCTTCTTGACAGAGGAGGAGACCCCAGTCTGGGAGCCGGAGAGCTGGCTGGCAGGGGGTGCAGGCGGCTGGGCCGGTGGGGGCTGGGCAAACGTGGACAGGTTGGCGCACGACAGTGACTTCTTCAGGTTCTCATTGTTGAGGTGCGTGATGTTGTTCTGGTAGCTGCTGTTGGGCTGCACCTTCTTGCTGTTCTTCTTCTTGGCCGACACGGCCACGATCCTCTTCCAAGGCAGCACGGAGATGATGGAGTGGCGCTTCAGGTTCTTGTCCTTGGCGTTCTTGCTGTTCTGCACGGCCGTGTAGTGGCCCACGGTGGCCGCGCCATCCTCAAACAGCGTGGCCTTCCGGTAGCTGGGGGACAGGGACAGCACCGTGCCCATGGTGCCGCTGCGCGCCGGGCTGGGGCCCGCGCCCCTGCGCGCCCAGCCTGCCGGCGGAAGGGAAAAACCAGCTCACCGAGCCCGCGGCGGCCCCGGGGAGGAGGCGGGGGCGCTCCCGGGACGCGTGCTGCCCCTTCGGATCTGCGTGGAAAACAAGATGGTGCTCAGCCCCTGGCGGGAATCGCTGCCGCGCTCCTCCACCCTGGCCGCCGCAGCCCCCACGAACTTGGCCCCGGGGCCCGCACCCGGGCCTTGCCCCGGCCCCGCGGCCCCGCCCGCGCCCCCGCGCCGCAGCCAGGGCGCCTCCACTGCAGCAGCCCCCGCCAGCTGCCGCTGCCGCCGCCGCCGCCACGGTCCGGATGGCAGCGGGAGGGGTTCGAGAGAGGGCGGAGGCGGCCGGGGACCCCCGCCCCCACACCGCGCGGCCCCGACCCCAGCCCGGGCTCCCCACGGGCAACAAGAGACCGAGAGGCGCAGGCTTACCCCACAGGCGGCGGCTCCTGCGCTCCGCGCCCTCCGCAATGCGCGCCGCGGCTCGGCACCACTGTCCCGGCGCTCGACAGGGCTCGCGCTCGGCGGCGGCGGCAGCTCCGGAGCTTCTGTCCAAGGTTCTGCAGACGCCGCGGCCCCGCCCCCTGTCCGGCCGCCTTCGCCGCCGCCGCGCTCCCGCTCCCGCTCCCGCCCCGGCGCGCACCCCAGCGGCAGCCTCTCGGGGGCGCGCGCACGGACCACGCGCCGGCCCGGGCGGTCCTGGTGCCGCCGGGAGTCGGAGCCGCTGCCGACCTCGGCACGGGCTGCGCGAGGTGCGGGCAAGGATGCTGCCGCGACCCCAAGGCACTTCTACGCGCCGCGCAGCGTTTAGGACCCGGGCTCGGGCGGCGGCGGCGGCGAGTACTCGCGGCGCCGGCCCCGCCCCGGCTCTCGGGGGTCGCCTCCCACCTCACTGCTCGCCGCCAGCTCGCGGACGGGCGGCGTGAGCCTAGGACCCCCCGAGCCGCGGAGCTCAGGCCCGGGGAAGCGCGGCGGGCGGGGCGGGGCCTAGGCCGACCCCGCCTCCCCGCCCCGACACGTGCTGCCTTTGTTCCCGCCGCTGCGTCCGCAGTCGCGGCCCCGGGGGCGCTCTCGGCCCCGACTGAGGCTGTCGCTTGAGCCGCTCGGGAAGCCATGCGCGAAGGCCGAGGGGCCGAGATCCCTCCTTCCATGTAACATCCTCAACTACGGGGAAAGAAGCTTGGGGGCTGGCGGAGTAAGGCGCCGAGTGGGGGGACGTCTTTGCTGAGGTCTCCTGAATGCCACAGGCATCCCGAGAGCACTGTTAAATCGGTAGTGCCTTCCCTTCCCAGGCCTCCGTTCCCCCATCTCATTAAATGCCCGCCGCCCGGGTAGGTCTCAGAAACCCAGGCCAGAGAGTCGTTAGCAGTTCTGAGCCATTCCGCAAACAGCAACTGGCTTTCCCACACCACACCTGGGACAGGGCCCTGAGGCCCTGGCTGGGCTCTGCTCAGGGATGGGCCAATCCTGAACCCATCACAAATGTGACCACAAAATTTCCACTGTCCCTCCAACCAGGCTTGATCCTCTGATTTAAATACTTTTCATATTAAACATGTATAATTTGAAGACCTGGTGCCAGTAAAATTATAAAATTTTGAGCAAAATTATGGTTCTAAGAACTGTTCCTCTCACAGATGAGAATCCAGCTCCTTCACCAAGGCCATTCTTCAGTTTTTAGTTTGGTTCTGGAAACTGATTCAGATTTGACCACAATCCTGAGAAACATAGATAGGTTTACCAGATTGTCACTTCTAGACCTAGAGATGTATAAGTAGCAATCCAGATAAAATCCAATTCCCTGACTCCTAGATCATTCCCATACACTTGGGCTGTCAACCTGTGGCAGCTCTGCCTACTGCCCTAAGCACAACAGAAATCTGGTATCACTCAGAAAAATGCTATCAAACCAGAAAGTGCTAGAATTTACTACCCAGAGATTTCTCTGTCAGTAGTGGCAACTGAAAACTTTAGGGACCTTAGTGACACATATATGGAAAATGCATTGTTCTAAACCCAGAGGGTTACTTCTTCCACAGCCCTTCAGAAACATCACCGGAGCTGTCTTAACTCGGAGATGCAGACAGGGCCCTTGCTCAGTATGTCCCTCCCTCTGAATGTTCCTCAGTGTATAACCTCTAACCCCTTCTTTCAAATGGAGTTATCCTTAACCCTCCTCTACAATATGGGGCTCTAAGAAGTAATCCCCAAGTCCCATGGCCCAAGGAGACTCTTCCTCTCCAAGGCAAAGCTGAATCCCAGGCTTTTTGCCTCCAGCCCCTAAGTGGAGAGAGACTCAGCTCCTAAGCTGGCCTCTGTCTTGAGGTTCCCTTTAGATGGTAGTGTTGATCAAAGGCTAAGTACTTTCCATTTCCCAAAATATGCCTAGATTTTTTTTATTAAGGTATCATTGATATACAATCTTATGCTCAGGTTTCACATGAGCAACATTATGGTTACTACATTCCCCCTATTATCAAGTCCCCACCACATACCCCATTATAGTCACTGTCCATCAGCATAGTAAGATGCTATAGAATCACTACTTGTCTTCTCTGTGCTATACTGCCTTCCCTGTGCCCCCCCTATATTGTGTGCTAATCATAAAGCTCCTAAATCCCCTTCTCCCTCCCTTCCCATCCACCCTCCCCAGTCCCTTTCCCTTTGGTAACTGTTAGTCCATTCTTGGGGTCTGTGAGTCTGCTGCCGTTTTGTTCCTTCAGTTTTTGCTTTGTTCTTATACTCCATAGATGAGTGAATTCATTTGGTACTTGTCTTTCTCTGCCTGGCTTATTTCACTGAGCATAATACCCTCTAGCTCCATCCATGTTGTTGCAAATGGTAGGATTTGTTTCTTTCTTATGGCTGAATAATATTCCATTGTGTATATGTACCACATCTTCTTTATCCATTCATCTACTGATGGACACTTAGGTTGCTTCCATTTCTTGGCTATTGTAAATAGTGCTGTGATAAACATAGGGGTAATATGCCTAGATTTCTTAACCTATTATCCACCCCTTAGATCTGGACCCACTGTTACCTACACCTACAAATTTTGGTTCTAGCAACCCCAATTCACAGTGGGTAGTATCAAGTTCTACTTCACCCCACCTTGTTTCCCAAACCAAGGAACCATGCACTTGCCTTGTCCAGCCTGACCACACCCTGGTGTCCTCTCATGCTTTTGCCTGGCCAGCTCTTCCCTAACACCTTCAAAAAGCTGCTTGCAATACTATCCCAGCCTCCTCACACTTGTCAAAGGCAAAGTCATGTTTGCAGGACAGCATGAATGGGATGGCACTGCCTGCCCACTTGCTCCTGTAACTGATAGTTATCCCGAACACCTATACACCCATGCCGTGCCTGCTCTGCCTGCTTCAAGGCACCCACCACAACCCCCTAGCTCCCATCACCACTCCAACTGCAAAGTAAGAAAAGTGCAAAAATCTGTTAGAAATGGCAGAATCAAGGACCCAGAAGGCAGACCCAGCTGTACAAAGCAGAGCTGTTTTCTTCCCAGTCTTCATCAGAGAACTCCACATCCCACCACCAATCAGCCTCTTTACACTAAAGCCTACCTCTAGCTGTGTATCTGGGCTGCTGCCAATGTATTGTCAGAGAATCCCCAACCTCTGGATGCTCCCCACTACCCCCACTCCAGTCCTAAACCACCTTGAGGAAGGGAAGCCAAGGCCCCAGCCAGTTAGCTTGCAGAAAGGGTTCCAAATAAAGCAGCGCCAAGACCTGGCTCCTGAGGAGTCACACTTTGTTCTTTCAGGGATCACAGAGCAGCATCTAGTGGCCCTTCTGGGCAGCACAGATTACATAACTCGCACACAGCAGGGATCCAGCGCCAAGCACCTCAGTATCTCTTGAACACACCAGGAAGCCCCGGCATCATGAGGGCTGGTGGCAGCAAGGGTTCCTACATAAGGAGCCAGGCCCAGGCAGCCCACAGGCCACTGGACTCTCTCAGGTGTGCCTAGACCCAGCTGATCTGAGGGCCTGGGAGGGGAAGCAGTGCTGGAGACCTAGAGTTGCACTATCCAAAAAAAATATGTGAGCCACAAACGCAAGCCACATAGATGGTATTTTCTAGCAGCCACATTAAAAAGGTAAAAAGAAACAGGTGGATTTTCATATGTTTAACCCAATATGTTCATAATTCAACATACAAAGTTGTTCAATTACTTTATTATTTTCCTATACTGTCTTCAAAGTCTGGTCTATTTACACTTGTAGTCCACCACAGCTGCAGCTAGAACACTTTAAGGGCTCAGTAGTCTCATGTGGCTACAGGCTACACACTGGGCAGCAGTCTAGAGGGAGTCACACACCTACAAAGGGAGCAGAGGAAAGGGCTGTGCCCAACTGAGCTCCTGGGGGCTGCCCTAGGCTTGGCAAACCCCTACCCTCTGCTCCAGCTCTGAATCCCTTTATAGTATTTTTTAAAGTCCTTTGTTGAACCAAAACTCTTCCTGTAAGAGACATATAATATTAAAACAGAGAATAGCAGAACTGCTCAGTGGGCTGGCTCCCCCCACCCACCCAGTGGCCTCAGAGCCCCCAGAACCATCCCCAAGGTCTAAGGGGGCAGTAGGAAAGTCATTGCTGGTGACTCCAAATGGAAATTAAACCAAAAATGAATGTCAGGGCTCTCCAAGCACTTGGATTTCCACTGCTTCACATAACCCTCGTGCCACTTACCTATGTGCCATCCTCATGATGTAGATGCGGAAAGAGGCTCAGAGGATTTAACAGCCCAACCTGTGTCCTCACTGGACTATGCTGCCTTGGAAAAACAAAAAGATACCTAAACAACATCTTTTATTTCAGACCTCACAGACCAACTTCCTTACCCAAAGCCCTCCACTTAACCCCAGATTTAAAGATCTTCCATGAAGCAATGAGACAGCAGAGCTCTGGCCTGTCTAGAGGGCTACACAGCGCCCTAGACTTTATTCAGACACCCTCCAGCACTCAAGAAAACACACATTTTGAAAAAAAAATTGTTTTTATTGGAACTCATCTGAACATCAGATATACCTGGTGTTGGTTAGCAAGAACCGTTTGTACATTTGATATTGATGGTGCCAAAACCAAAACAGTGACTGGACATGATGGGGAGAGATGTTCAAGAACAAAAACATGATTTTGGAGAGGAAAGTAAAAGCCAGTCAGATTCACAGAGGATGCAAAACCTGGTACAACAAAATCCTTTTACAAAATATAAATTTATTATGAAAACCTGGAAGGATAATTTGAGAAAGGGAAAGAAAGATAAAAGGAGGCCAGCAGGAAGAAGGCATGAGGTGGGGAGAGGAAAAGACAAAGAGAAGATAAGAGGAAGAAAATACAGCTGAACACAACAGAGGTGCAGAAGCTTACCTGCCCAGATGGCATTACCGCCTTGCTAAGCAATCTCATCATAAAACAAAGCATGCTGAAGCACAGTGCTCTACCTCCCACTCAACTTCTAGGACGGAAATAAAGAGGCTCCCGAGGAGGCGAACATGAGGTCGCTTGAAAATCCAACAACAAAAAACAAAAAAACCCACATCCCACAGTCTCATTTCCGATGATCACTGTTAAAAAAAGGAAAAAACCCATCTGACAGCAGGAGAGGAGGAGTGGGAAAGGGAGAGAAGCTGATGGATTTCAGACAGCCTGGCTCCCCTGGAGGGGGAAGGTGGAAGGAAGAGACACGCGGGAATGGTCTCCACTTCGGAGGGGAAAGCGAAGGGAGAGAAAAGAGCAGAGAAGGGACAATTAAAACACTGAAATCTAATCTAGTTTACTGGGTTAAAAAGAGCCACATGCACAGCAGGCCCCAAGGGTCCACACTGCTCCTCGTGTGGCCGGAGTGGGCACCAGCTCCTGGACTCATTCCCCTTCCTTCACAGGCCGGAGCGGAGCTGTGCAGGTGCAGCGGCAGACCTTCGGCCAGCCTGCCGGCCCCCTTGCTTGGGGAAGGGCTAGTGGACAGGCCATAGGGCAGGGGAAAGAACACCGGAACACCTCATTTCAAATAACAAAGAAAATAGCAGTCTATACACAGTTGTTTGTTTTGGTTCAGTACAAACAGAATAAAAAGTCGTTGCTTTGATGGTCAGGCAAACACCCAATTCTGAAGAGAGGTGACGCCAGGCAGGTGGATCAGGAGCCCCCAGTGGTTGGCGGAGGGCCTGGCTTTGCGGCCTTCTCCCAAGAGGCAGAGAGCACAGCTTTGGGTAGTGTAAGCCTTTTCCTTTTATTTAGAATAACCTTTTTTTTTCTTTTTCTTTTTTTTTAAGCAATTTCCCCACTCCCAAGTAGGGCCAGTAAAGATTACATGAAAACTGGCACACCTATTGGCTGGAATACAGATGCACCAAATGAGGATTTAAAAACTTTCCGAGCGAAAAGTAGAACATAAAGAAAAAAGAATCCCCTAGCATTTTCCCCAAAGGTTTCACTCTCCCGCCACACACACTCTCCAAAGGACCGCTACAGATCCAACTCTGCAAGAGAAGACAGAGCAGTGTCAATCGGGGAAGCCGCCAGGCCACCAGGAGGCTCTCAGTCTTGACAGGCAGAAGACAGCGCTGCCCAGGCTGGTCCAGCACCAGCACTCACCTATGTCAGTTTCTTGGCTTTGTTGTAGAGGGAATCCACTACTTTACTCATGTTCTGAATTGTTTCCAGAGCAGCTTCATAAGTTTTATCTACTGGGGGTTCATCGAAAATAATCAAGACACCCTCCCCCTGGTCCAAGATCCCTGCAGGAAACACAAGGTCAGCCCAGGTAAAAAAAGGGGTTAGAGGCCAAGCATGTGAGAAGAAGCCCACTCCCCAGCTGCCTAACTTTCTCCAGAAAGGAATACAGAGCACAGCGCATGTCTCCCTGTTCACTTGTGCATGTTTTTTATACTCTCATCACAGGGATAAGAGGGGCCAGGATCCCAGGAAACCACCAAGTGAGACAAAAACATCTTTCAAGATAAGAGCACGATGTCTCTTCAACCATTTCATCACTACCAGCCCCCTCATCTGTGTGACTGTTACTCACCATGAAATTTCTTGTCAAGAATCATCTGCGATAATTTCCGTTCCACATCAGCCTAAAATCAAAGCACATTATTAAAGAGGCCAGTATCCACTAGTCAGAGATAACACTGATGTGAAAGCCTTGTATCAAAGGGTCTTAGGGCAATTGGATTAAAAAACACAACAGCAACAATGCAACTCCAGCTCTGAGCCCAAGTCCCCATTCCCCACTGAGAAGCTTGGGAGCTTTCCAACAAGGCCCATTGGGTGTAAACACACTCCCACCCCCATCCCTATTCCCAAGGAAAGCTCAGGATTCCTTACCTTGGAGAGTTTGATGAGGCTAGATATGTGTTCAATCTAAAAGGAAAGGCAGAGAGACACCAACACTGAAAGTTTTACTTTTGCCTCTAATATGGGGGATCAGGAGGGTGAATTGCTCTCTCTTGAAATCTTGCTGAATGTCTCTACAGGGTCAGACGCTCTTTGGCCGTGCTTAGGTCTCCTGTGCTTTGTCCATCAGCCTGCCCTTCATCACTACAGACAATATATACACTCCTGTTCCACACACCCAGTGACAAAACGTTTACCATACACACAGTAACTAGAAAAGCAAGGAGGAGACTACACTCAATACAAGGTGGGCACTCCCGCCAGCCTCTGCCCCCCAGCATCCCTCTCCTCAACTGCAGTTCCCATGTTTAGAAAAGCCCAAGCTCCTGGGGGCCTCTTGCCCACCAGGCACACTCCGGAAGCGGAAGCGAGTCCCTATTCTGGATGGGAGCGGAGGGGGAGCAGTGAGGATGCCTAGCCAGGACCCCCTCACGCCAGAGAAAGGCTCAAGCCCCAGCAGAGTTCTTACCTGTACTCGGGAAAAAGGCTCAATGACTCGGATCAGATTCTGTTCCAGTAAGTTATCATACAGCTTGGCCAAGTGTGTGCTGATGATGGGGTCATCCCGGAGCTCCACCCGGTAGTCAGTCAGGGCCTGCCAAAAGAGCCAGTCACAGAGATGGCACAGGGGAGCACTGGAAGTCACTCTACTCCTAGGTTCCTTAACAGCCCACTGGCCCTTGTAACTACATGGTTGACTGGGGTTCTGGAGGACTTGGTTGGGGATGGAAGAACAGCCGTGACAGAGAACAGAAGAAAAGGAACATTAAGAACTAAAGATGGAGCCACCTCTAGGCACCACCTTTCCATCTGAAAGCCCCATGTTAACAGCTCAAACTACTTAAGCCCCAAGAGCAGCTCAGCTTGTAAATCAAATTAACTAAACAAGCAGTTCTCAACATGTATTTTTACAGGACAAACAGTGTCTCCACTGGGGGGAAAAGAATTCTGAGATTAAATAATAGGAAATGCTGAATTCCATAGCTAGCTCTTGAAATTTTATAAGGAACATCACCATAGTACAGTTCAGCAATTAAAAGAAAACAAAGTACCTTTCTAACTTTAACCCTAGTGTCCCCCAAATAACTGGCGACAGACCCTTTTTCCAAGGAGCCCCTATTTATCAAAGTGTTTCATCGAACACTCCAAACTTTGGAGGAAAATGATGGAGACAGTTTGCTTATTCATGTATGTAACAATTACCGTTAGTAAATCAACGTCCCCGCCTCATGTCAACTGTGCTACAAGGTATATGGGAAGCAACAGATCATGCCAAGTGTGGGAACTGGCAAGAAGCCTCCAGAAGGGTGATGAACCTTGGCAGCAGCCAGTCTAGTCTCCACCCACACTAACGTTTTCTTCCTGGGTCTAGGTTTACATTCTCTGTATATGCAGACTGAGAAGACAGAGGCTCAGAGGAGAACGCACAGGACACACCCTACTGCTCACACAAGCTTTTCTCCCTTTTCAAACCTTCACAAACCATGAGTAAAAAACACAGGAGGGAAAGCAAGTCTGGAACATCAGCCTGAAAGTATCTTCCAGCCCAGCTGCACACACTAAGATTTCTCTTTTGCCCACAGAGGAGGAGCAGACCTGGCGTTTCTGGACCTGAGGGAATACCTACGACTGTGCCACATGCAACAAGCACTAGGCATGGAGTCAAACCCTGACACACATTAGCTCTGTGACTTCCAGCATCCTCTCTGACTCCCAGCTTCCTCAGCCGTAAAATGCAGGTAATAGGCTTGTTGTGAAAAAAGGATGACAGGAAGAACTTTGTGAAACTGACAGGTGCTATATATAAATGAGGTATTACAACTCAACAAGTCTCATTGCACAAAAGTGTTTAACTATGTCCTGGTTTGGATATCCTGCTACAACAGAGATGTAACCACGGGGGAAGACTAGGAGAATGATACATGGAATTGCTCTGTGCTCTCTTTATAACTTCTTATGAAACTATAATCACTTAAAAATTTAAAAAAAAATTTTTTTACAAGTACTTAAATGCTCCTCTCCTCCACCCGTTCCCTACCAACCCGATACCATACTTACCTTTTCAAAATCTGCCAGTGATCTGTTCTTGCTAGCCTGAGCCACACATTTTAATGCTTCTGTCTAAAAATAAAGAGAAAAATAGTGAAAGTGACCTTTTTACACATTTCCATCCCAACAAACAAGTCTCGTAAGCAGGCTATGTTCATACAACTTCTGGCTACAAGGAAGAACCTGCACCACTGTTTTTCTTCTTCAGAGACCTGGGAAGAAAAGCCACTGTTTGTGCCACCCATTAGCCCTTTGAAATCTGAAATGATTTAATACTAACAGAAAGTTTCCCCCAAAAAACACAGACCCCAATATGACATTTTCCAAAGAAGAACAAGCTAAAAGGGAAAATGGCCAGAAAACTGTGATTTCTTCCCCCAACTCCAAGACCTCCTATCCCCTCAGACTCCTTTTTGCCCTGTTTTACCAAGACTCATTCTGCTAGGTTTGGTAGAGCACTGGCCTAGGTTTTTCAGGGTTGAGGCATCAAAATTCTCCCCATTACACTGATTCCTAAAACCCCATAGAAGGATGAAGCTACAACCAAGTGGTTATGGGCAATTTGTAACTTGGTTATAAAAGGCACAAGTGATCAAGCTATCAAATCTCCATTCAACAATAAATCTACAACATTCATCTTTCTAGACCAGCCTGACTCCAGCTTGAAAGCTGCCATCGAGGTACAAAGGACCAAAAGAAGCTCCTCTTGTAACCAGTCCATGTACTTAAACTAGGATTGGGTATCTTATACAGCAGACTTTTAAAATGGTGCAAAAAGCTAACCATTAGTATATTTTGTCTCCACTACTGTCCTACAATAACAAATGTCATGAGAAAAGCCTGAAACTAAGAGCCAGAAAATCCAAGTTCAAAGCCTGGCTCCACCATTTGCTAGTTACCTGACCTTGCCCTGGATATTTAACCTCTCTCAGCCAATCTCCTCAACTCCAGTTCTAGAGAGGGGAGTGAGTCTTTCACCATAGTATTAACAGGATTCTTGTGGTCAAAACCAGGAGCTGATCTGAAACTTTCTGATGAAAAGCCAATTAGGATCACTTGTAGAGAAGGAGGAAGTCATCTGTTGTGGCCATTCCTCCAAAAGAAATAATAAGATAACCAATCTGTCTGTTTACAGACAACTGCATTCGAAATTTAGAAAGATTACTTTTACTTCACTAGTGATAATCAAGCAAAGTACAAAGAACAGATGATCCAGACATCTGAGACTTCATCTTTACATAGGTCACATTCTTCCCTACTTAGGCACAAAGGGGGTACTGACCTCCAATGAATGGCTTCTTCTTGCACCATACCCAAAACTTAGGACATGAGTGGAAAGATACTGATATGAGAAGCACTCAGGGGAGATACCAAAACCTAGTTTCTGTGCCAAGCAATCCAACCTCCCCAAAGCACATGGGCATCAGACCTTACCAGGCTCTAGAGTCAGAGGAGCCAATACTTCACGTCCCATATATGATAAATTGACAAGTCAGGCTCACGGCAGATAATTTTTCTGGCCAAAATTAAATACAATATAACTCACTACAGATGCTACATACAGTTCAGTTCTCTAAGTCTCTCAAACCACCTGGTATCCATGACAGCACCAAAATACTGAGTCTCCAGACCAATAATTTAACACTATAGGAAATATACTAAATGGGCTTAAGGGAAAGGGGCAAAAAAAGAATGAAGAGTAGAATGGAGACCTGAAGAGCACTGGTCCCACTGGGCATCATGACTGACAACAAGCTAGCATCAGAGGGAATAGAAATCAGAACTGCAGTCAGTATTCCCTTACCTGCCTCCCCGCATACCGAAGTGCAAGCTTCCCGCTCACCAAGGCCTGGACATCTTCTGGGCTAGAAAAAAAGACACTTGGTCAATTGTTCCAGAATGTTACATTTCTAAGTATAGGTTTAAGCAAATTTCTTTTTCTCAGAGTTCTACTGAGAAGACCCTGCCCACAGAGATAACGAATCCCCAGCCCTAAACCCATATGCCCTTCACATTGCAGAAGCCAGACTTTTCACCACACTGGGCCAAAGCTCAGCACTTAAATAAGAAAACTCCAACGTTATAAAGAAAGCTGCACTAAACCTACCAAAAGTAATAAACCCAACAGGCAGAATGGTTAAGCATAAGGTCAAATCCCAATATAACAGATCTTAGTAAAACAGCACCCCTGTGTAATCCAAAGATCCAAACAGCATCCCAGTCAGTCTCATTTATTCCCAAAGGAATGTGGACAAATTCTGTAGAATTCTTTATAAAAAGACCTTTGTCAAAATCTCTGCTGCTCCCTTTTTCAAACCTCTCCCTAACCTCTTTCTTAACCCACTCCCATTCTGGGTGGCCCAGTTGCTGCTACTGTTCTGTCAGCTATTTCCTGGCCCTCTGCCCTGTGCTCAGCACCTCATCTGGAGAGAATAACCACAGGATGAGGAAAACATTCCAAGAGGCTAGGAAGGAGATTTCTAAACTCTGTCTCTCCAACTCTGAAAAACTAGTGATCAGAAGTGCTTTGGATACCTTTAACCCTCCCCCTCTACCTCAACCAGCTCCAGAAGTGGCTCCTGCTGCTCCTTTAACTGGCCAAACTCCCTGCCCAAGCTATCTCTGCTACGGCAGGGAAACTTAGCTGAAAGACTTAAGTTCTCATATCCCAAAGTTAATGTGCACCTACGTGTTGAGCATGATTTTGCACAGCAACATGTACTTCAAAGATGTGATGGCCTTGGGGCTATCGATGGAGTCATAACCCTCAAATGCTTCATAGAAATATGAGTATGCAGTTTTCCAATCCTTCTCCTCTGCTGCATGAATAATACCTGGGCATTGAAAAGAAAGGAGTAAGAACCACATGAATAATGGAACCAGGAAAGATCAGCGCTGGAAAGGGCCTCAGAAATCTATCCCAACCCCATCTACTTATTGAAGAGCACAGGAAAGGACCTGCCCAAAGTCTCTGTCAGCTAGTTCAATGTTATCTTGCCAATACACATTCCAAAGATGTTAAAGACCCAACTCAAGAGGGATCCTAAAAACCACCTACTCTAACATCTTTTCCCATGCTTTCCATCACCACTGCAGTCCTACTATGTTCTGGAGCCACTAGAAAAAGCCATGTCTACCCTAAATGACATCACCTTCACAAGTCAGGAAGTTGATGCAAATATCCCTGGACTGCTTGAATGACCTGTTCTGATATTTCTCTAAGATAGTTTTTCTAAAGTTGACATTTTTATATGTAAGCAGCTTTCAGGGGAGAAGAAAAAAATCCAATCTCTCATATTCTCATTATAGATATTTGTCCTTTATGGATGTGCTTTTGCCTAGATGCAATCAGTATATAGATTTCACATAACGCCAAATCCATGAACTTAATATACATAGTTAAGCATCTCCTCAGGCTGATATACCATAGTTCATCTAAACAACTCTCTACTGCTTAACAGTTGGATTGCCTCCAATGAGCTGAACTTTGATTAAATCTGCTATGACCCCCAATCTACACATCACTTGAGATAACATGAAGTTTGGTTCCTTTTATTTTGAGAGACAGCTAAGCCCTCAGATTCTGTATCAGTTCTAACTGCCTCAACCCCTTATGAGGCTACACACCGCAGCCCCATCCATTTGTTTACCACAGTGCTTCCTAACATTTTTCACATCAAGGTACATGTAGAAAGTATTCAGCCCACTAGAGTAAAAGGATGAAACTGCTTACACATGACCCCAGAGGATTGATGTTTCAGCACACTTTTAACCCACCTGTCACATACTTGGTATGCCTGGCATGACACCTGGGAACTTCTGGCTTAGTAACCATTTATTGAGTGATACATGCCATGCCCAGTACTTTTTACCCTACCCAAAAAGCCTCCTATTTTGAGGCTGAAGTAATCAGATCCTTCTACTACTGTTCTTAATTAGAAGCCTGGAGAAAAGTGGCCCCTCCCTACAACCAAGAAGAGCTCCTTTAAGAGTACCCAACAAACTATTAACACTACTAACCTAGCTGAGTTAGAATCACCATTGTCCCAGATCTCCTAGCCTAGAAGTAGAAGAGCATATACCAGACCCAAAATAAGATGGTTAATAATAAATAAATAAATATATATATATATAAAATAAGCACCAAGAACTGGTATACTGCTTTTCCAAGCACATCGTAAGTAGAGGCCACATGAGGACTATGAGTACAGAGCTGGCATATGAGGTCCGTTATTTAAAAAAACAAAACAAAAAACTAGACTGTCACTCATTCACACAAATATTAACAAGCACCTACCATATATCAAGCACTGGTATAGCCACTATAGAGGAAATACATGAATAAAGCAAGGAGTCACTGTCTCACAAAGGGAAAGACATCACCAAAATGGAAAGAGGAGATTAGTACCATTAATATGTAGAAAGAATACCTCTGACAGGGAAGTCTGAGAGCAAAGAGGGCACCGAAAAAAAGTTTATAAAGGAGACATCTGAGCTGGATGTGGAAGAAATACATCAGATTTTGCCAAAAGGACAGATGAAAGGGGACTTCCCAAGCAAAGAGAAAATGTGCAAAGCACAGAAGCAGGAACACACGAAGTCACTGGTGACTAGGACTGAAAACCAGAGATGAGGATGAAAAGGAAAGGTTGCCTTCCTTTTGAATGCCAAATTAAAGTAAAATTTAGCCTGGGATAATGTGGAACCATAGGAAAATTACATGATCAGATTTGTTTCAGAAAAGAGACTGGGGCCAAATAAGGCAAAGAGGATTGGGAAAAGTGATTAGGGACAATTAGATCAATAAACGATTACTCCAGTGGTCTAGGCCTTAATGACAGTAGTGACTACAGAGATGGAAAGGAAAGGGCAGATTTAAAGGCACATTCAACCTAATGTGGCAACTAATTTGATATGAAGGGTAAAGGAGAATGGAGTAAAAATACCCCAAAGACAAGAGCTTGAGCAACTAATCAATAATGATTTGTTAACTAAATAGGAAATGTAGAAAACAACAATTGAGGATGAAGAGGTTAGATAATATTTTAGTTTTGACACATTAAGACCGAGATATCTATGGAATATTTAGGTGTGTACATATATTCACTATGCAGCTATAACTCTGGATCTGGAATTCAGGAAAGGGATGCTACTGCAGATCCAGATGAAGAGACGATCAGTGGTACGTGGCAGCTAAAGCCATGGGACAGTATGGAATCAGGCAAGAGTCAGACAGAGCAGAGAGAGGAACTATGAGAACAACGCTGAGGGACACCCACACTTCATAGGCAGTCAGAAGGAAGAGGGGACAGCAAAGTGGGACTGAAGATAAATTAGTCAAGGGAAGGGACTAAGAGGACAGTGACGTTAAAGAAGACTAGAGTATTCATTGGGGTCAAATTCCCTGCCAAAAGTCAGAGGTTACAAAGGGGCTGTTCAACTTCTCTCAAGGGGTCAACAGAGTCACCTAGTAAGGAGGATACTCTCTCAACTTTTTCAAGAAGCTTGCATACAGCAATTTAAAAAGAGAAATGGCTGTTTTCAGCTGAAGCAGTTCAAAGATTAAGAGAAAGATCCAAGTGGACAAGAAAGACTAAACATTTAGAATAGAACAAAAAGACAGGAAGAAGGATCACCTGATAAGGGGTAAAATGCAGTGATACAAAACCTGGAAAGAAAAGTAAAGCTGGTTCACGTAAAAAAGGCCTCTATTTCCTGAGAAATACAATGCTAATTCAACTCTTGTCCATTAAGGAAGAGCATAATAAAAGAGTAGGGGCTTAAAGAAAGTGCAAATATTTGGTCAATGCTAGGTATTGTCATAAGAGCTTTATATTCATCATCTCATTTAATCCTCATCACAATCCTATGAGGAGGTAAATTATTACCACCATTCTATAGATCAGCTAAAGATAAATAGCTTACCCAAAGTCATACAGCCAAAAATTGACAAAACTGAAATTTCAACCCAGGAAAGTTTGTTTCTAGAACTTTTGCTCCTAAAAACTGAGTAATGAAACATGTCATTTGCTACTAACAATATATCAGAGGCAAGTGGGGCAGCTATTCTCTCTGTAACAGATGTGGAAACAAAGATTGCAGAGGTTATTAACACCAGGCTTACACTAGGCTTCTGCCTCCAGTCCCAGCGCTTCTTTCAGTGATGGTAATAAATTACAACTAATAGTTGCCAACTACAAGAAGAAGTATTCTACTGCACATCCATGGCCTCCTAGCCCCAACTCCATCAGAAAGTTATCCACTACACAAGACTGAAACTGAGGCTGGGGAGTCTTTCCTCAGCCCTGATCTGAGGCCCTCTGGAAAAGTCCAACATGCTTTACAAAGGTCTCGAAGTGACAACAGACTTGGTTAGTCCAACCCTGAAAGGAAGTGCTACCATCTAAGGGGCTCTGACGGAGAGCTTTCTAAACCTAAGTGAGACTGCTCTAGGACCTCAGCTCTAACAACAGGTTATCTGGTCAACCACAAATAAGCATGTTCTGAATGTATTTTAGGCATTATTAGCAGTTAATGGAGGGGAGTGGGAAGGGCAGAGGGCAGCTGGCTAGAGAGGTAGCCTTCTAACTGGCTTCTCTGAGGAAGCTTGAGCCCCATCAGCCAATTTTATCCTGCAGCCACTACTCCATTCCTTCTACCTATGAGATAAGATCATCTTTAAGAAAACATCCCATAACAGCTATGAGTATTACCTGACTGCATATCCAAGGTGGCCTGCAATTTAGGGGGGCAGTAGATGGCATTTGCTGTAGTTCGAGCAGAGGTTAAGGCAGCTCGGGCTTTCGGTAGGTTGCTCAGGGCATGGTATGTTTTGCTTTCTAAAAGCTGTACTTCTACCAAAAGGGCTTTATCATCCATCTTTTTCAATTCTCGCAGCAACTGAGAACCTGGAGAAGAAAAATACACACACCCTTTGTTAGCCATAATCATAGTACCTTAATACTGTAAAATCTCACTTTCCCACCCTCGTAAGAACACTCAGGATAAAGAAACCTGCCTGAACTCAAGATGAGGTTATGTATTTGCAAGAATTAAATTTTCTGCTAGCATGGTATTATCCAGAAGAAAAGCATAGATGTCTTTGAACTTCCTGCATACAAAGGACAAAATCAGACCCCAGAGTCTTAAAGCACTCCAAATATGTGAATACACTAAGAATTTCCATCCAGAAAACCCTGAAACTTGTCATCCAGTTTGGAGTCTAATCTCACTCTCTTCCTGTCCAGCAATCACAAGCCTACATACCCAACACCAGGCACCAGGATTGGTGGGGGAAGGAAAGAGTTCTGGACATACCAGTGTTCTCCAAATACACCTTCTTCCCCGTCTCAGATGAGAAAATCAAATCTAAACAGACTTCATGATACATAAAAATTAACCCAAAATGAATCAAAGATCTAACTGTAAGAGCTAAACCAATAAAACATAGGAGTAAATCTTTACGATCTTCAATCAGACAATGACTTCTTAGATATGATACCAAAAGTATAACAAAAGAAAAAATGATAAATTAAAATGTGCTTCAGAGGACACCCTCCAGAAAGTGAAAAAACAACCCATAGAATGGGGGGAAAAAATATTAGCAAATCATATATTCCATAAAGGGACTTGTATCCACAATAAACAATAAAAACACAAATAAGCCAATTAAAGAATAAGCAAAGGACTTGAACAGACATTTCTACCAAGACATACAAATAGCCAATAAGTACAAGAAAAGATGCTTAATATCATTAGCCATTAGGGAAATACAAATAAAAACCACAATTAGATACCACTTTACACCCACAAAGTGAGCTAAAGTAAAAAAAACAGAGAATATTAACAAATGTTAGGACAGGGAGAAACTGGAACCCTCACTGCTGGTGAGACTATATAATGGTATAGCCACTTTGGAATCAGTTTGGCAGTTCCTCAAAAGTTAAACAGAGTTACTACAGTGCCCAGGAATTCCACTCCTGGGTATATACTCCAAAGAACAACATATCCACATGAAACCTGTTCATAGCAGTATTCACAATAACCAAAAAGTGGGAACAATCTAAATGGCCATCAACTGCTGAATGAATAAATAAAATATGGTATGGCCATAAAATGGACTATTACACAGTAATAAAAATTGAATGAAGTACTGATATATGCTACCACATGGATGGTCCTTGAAAACATTTTGCATAAGTGAATTAAGCCAGTCACAAAAAACCCCACATTGTATGATTCCACTTAGACGAAATGTCCAGAACAGGCAAATCTACAGAGGCAGAAAGTACATTAGTGGTTGCCTAGGTCTGGGGGTGCGGAGATGATGGATGGGAAAGTGATAACTAATGGGTACACAGGGTTCTTTCTGGGGTGATAAAAGTGTCCTGAAATCAGATAATGATGGTGGTTGCACAGCTTTGTGAATATACTAAAAACCACCGGACTGTACTCTTTAAAAGGATGAATTTTATGGTCTGTGAAATTATATCTTAATAAAACTATTACTTTTAAATGCTATTATTTGTTTGAACCATATGAAATTGCCATTTTTGCAGGATAAAAAATTGAATACTGGCAATTTTTCACTCTCACAGATCACATAAGCCATATTTTTCCATGTGGGGTAAACAGTCTGGATTTACCCGTTAATTGAAAAAAAAGAAAGCAGTAGGCAAATACTTCAGAGTTTTTAAAGACCACATGGGAGAAAGCATTTAGTCAGCCCACTGTAGTTTCCATATATTTTGTACCCAATTAATACCTTGAGATATAAAATAGATTTTAATAATTACAAGTAGATATAGTAACTGTGATAAGTAAAATACTTGTAATTTGACCCTTTTGTTCTATAAATCTGACAGATTAACCCTAGTTTCTTAGAACTTCCAAATGCAGTTTTATATGACAGATTCAGTAATTATAAGCCACCTTAAATCCTTCTTAGAAGTAGGCAAACATAAATTAATATGTTAGTAAGAGTACAGCCTGGTTCAGAATACATTTATTTAGCTAGCTATATGCCTTATTAATTTCCTCCAACTTACTTACCCAAATGTAATGCCTCCTGGTACCTCTTGGTATCAAAGTACAAAGACACCAGTCTTGCCTAGGAAAGAGAAAAGGCATTGACTGATGGAAAGGGAGAAAAAAAAGCCAAAGAAAGAAATCAAAGACTGACAGTCACAGAATTGTTACTGTTGAGCGTACAAGTCCTGATGATAGCATCAAATCTAGTCAAAGAAATTATCTAGTCCATGGCTACATCTCCCATTATGGCCACTGACTGTTAACTTTACCATGTTGCTGCTTACTTCTCTGAACCAAGTAGCAGCTCTGTCTTTCAAAACTTCAACCAGAGCAATTCTCCTAAGTGAAATTACTACCAATAATCTTTGGGTGACTGAATAATACAAAGTTGCTGAAAATACTTCTGATCAGGATGGTGTCACTTACATTCATAGTCTGTCAAATGTGTAGGGACCTGAAATCAATTAACATAAGCACATACCTCCAAAGCTTGGCGTAAGAAAGTTCTTTTCTCTGATTTGGCCCATTCGATGCACTCTAAACACAACTCGACCTGGAGCAGAGACAGTACATGCAGCATTATGTCCTCACATTCTACCCACAAACCATGCTTTGGAGAACAGTTTTAATTTCCTCCCTATATATTATCTAAGTTGCTCTGTTTAATGTTCCAGGGAACATGCCTTGATCCACAATATCTCAATGTGTAATGGTTATGTCATATTGGAGAATCAGCCTGGCTTTTTATACACGAAGTTTCTTTGGGCTTAGACTGTGTTCTTGTGGAAAAGAGCTTCATCTTCAAGATTCCCCTTCTACCTTCCCAGAAGGGACCCAGAACTTCCAACATATGGATAGCCCTAGAATGTAATTTTCTACAATGGCTGAGGAATTTTTAAAGCAGAAATTTCTCCCTGAATAGTTGCAAACAGTAATAGTAATCTGTTAATGTGAATACACTGGTAATAAGGGGGAGAAATTTTCTGCCTAGGCACAAATGTCTTGATCCTGTTTCCCCTAGACTCAAAAGGTCCAGCTGCCTCTTTCCTTTCAGATACTAAGAAGAGCAGCTAACCAATTCATCAATTCATCTTCACAATACAGCAAACTTAACTTATAATAAAGGGAGTAAAAATAAATTCAAATTAGTCTAACACTTAAAAGGACTTTTCAGCTTTATTTAAAGGCACTATGAACCCCCAGTCCTATCTGCCACCCAAGCAGTGATATAATATGCAAATTAACTGATTTAAAGTAGTGTTCTATGCTAGATGGTCTACATGCCATCAGGTATCCCTGACAGAGTAGCTGTGACAAAGTACCTATTAAGTATTGCAGAGCGTGTATGTACCACTTTTGTTACTGAAGTTTGTATTAAGATTCTTAATCAGAGCATAAGATAAAAAGAAACTGATTCCACTGATTGCTAATACAACAGGTTTTTATTTAAGTCCGAAGTTCTCTAAGAGATGTTGTAAGGAGAGAAAAGGAAACAACAGATGGTCTGCTTTAAACTCCTTAGTCTAAGCTCACTAAATAAATGGATGACATTACATACTACTTGGAGTTCCAATGAAATCTTTACAACTCATTGGAGCCCCCTGGTGGCTACTTAATCTCCAACTCCAAACTCTCTCAACTGACCCCATAACAAATCTACAAAGACTAAAATAAAAGCAAGTCAATCACAAATTTAGAGTTATGTTCTGAAAAGTCAAACTCAAAAGTAAGATCTCTGTTCATTATGTAAATGGAACTGAAAATATTTTACTGAATATTTTTAGTAAAAAAACAGTCTTTTAGTCCTATATGTTGTGGGAGACTAAGAAATGCTTACTACCATCACAATTTTACCCAGGCAGTTTTTTCAAACAATACAAAAATAAATGCCTAGGCTCCTGATTGAGTGGTCTGGATATAGTATGGTCACTCTGATGTATTTCCTAGTTAAGAAACACTGAATTCTACTCCAGCCTCTTCACCTGTCCCCATTTCCCTGACAATCCAGATGTTAAGTGACTTACCCATTCATGGTCACATATCAGCTGATGGCATTAGAACTGACTCTATCTCTAGGGCTCTTTCTACCTCAACCAGCTTTAATAAGTTCGGGTCATTCCAGACATTTCTCCTAGAGCACAGATTCTTCACAAAAATGACCTGCCTATCTGTTATCAATTATGGGGTACAAGATTTGCATTATCTAGGACTCTAACTGGTGGAACCAGCACTCCACTTCTAAGGAAGAATTTTAAAGGCCACTGCCTTTGCTTCACAGCTACTTTGTTTGAGAGGCTCTGTGCTTTGTTAATGCTGACAGCGACTTGTAAAGGGGAAAGAATATGCGAGAAGCCCATGCTTCTGGAGGAAGTCCGTACTTGAGTACACAAGCTTGATGCAGTCACAATTAGATACTGAAGTTTTAAATTAATACACCCATTTTTTTAAAATGCCTTTATTAAGTAAATTTCAATGGTAAAAAAAAAAACAGTTAAATTAACAAGTTTATTCACTACCATTCCAAGGCTCAAATTCTCTAGCACAAGCTCCTTTTTTCCACTGGTGTAACTATTTCAATAATAGAATTTTCAACATACAGTTTCTTAAAATGTGCTATTGTATGTTTTAGTTGGACAGACTTTACCAAAAAATGACTTCCCTTAGGCAACTACGTACAGATTCCTGCAAAGTAAGGTTAATTTCGGAATTTCAATTTGGCAAGGGTCTGGTTCAGTCTCCTTTCTCCCCTGCCCATTCCAATTTTCTTTTACTGCCAATCACTCCATCCTCACTCTTCTAACCTACCCCCACATCCTCACTTTCTATGCTCTAAACCTTATACAATTAACCTGATCTTAATCTGAATCATAAGCTTTCAGGACACAGCAAGCCAAAGACTGTTCTGTAGATCTGACTTAACGGTTAGTCCCCACACAAAAAAGGCAAGGAACACCCCCTCCCACATACTCTTGGTACCAAACTCTCTAACAAAAAGTTCCTAACTCCTTTAACAATGTTCTAAAACTTTGTATTTTGCATCAGGGCTCAATACTACTATGACAGTGATCCACCTATGCTCCTCTATTGTTTCCCCTCACTCCAAGTTGAAGACCTTGAGTCATCTAGACAAATGAAGTAACACTCATGCTTCTATCTCAATTCAATAACTTTATGTCTTAACAAAGTATCTGCTGATCATCTACCACGACAAAGACATCCACACCTTCCTACAACAAATACTAGTTATGTGGCTCCCCTGGGCCAAACTACTCTGAGGGCCAACGATACAGCAGTGAATAGGACAAAGTAGTTATGCTAACGGAATTTATATTCTAAGGTGGGTAGAGATGTTAATAAGTAAAATAAATATGAAGAAAAGTAAAGCAGAGATAAAGTATTCTGAATAGGATGATCAAGGAAAGTCTCTGAGGAAGTGAAATACAAGCAAAATGAAATGTAAGAAGTGATCTGAAGGAAAAAACCACGGTAAAATCAGGCTGAGAGCAATCAAGATACATAAAAATGCCCCAAGGCCAAAACAGTCTGAAGTTCCGGCAAAAAAGCCAGTATTACAGCTGTAAAGAAAGTAAAAGAATAGTATGGTGGGTGAGATCAGAGGTAGCCATGGTTAAGGAGTAACCAGGTATTAGAAATGAGAAGAGCTCTGTGGTACCACAAAGTATACACTGCTTTACCTGAATGAAATTTTATTACAGTAAAGAAGGCAAATGTTTAAGTAACTGTCATATATGGCAGAATAATAAAAAATAGGCACAAATCATGACGTGGATCAGTGACAGAATTAAGATCACACTGAAGACAACAAGCAAAGATTTCCGGCTGCAACCTGAGATGAGACTACAGAAGGGAAAGGTACAGTATGAGGCACACACAGGGCTTGCTCAGCAAACAGCCAGGCATCTAACATAACTGGCATTATTTGGTACGCTCACAGAATCCCAGGATATCAGGCTGCTGTGATAGGTTGTACTAGAGAAAACCATTAAATACCTAATTTTCCAGGCAACGGGGAGTCACTGAAGGCTCAAGCTGGGGGTGAGTGGGGAGAAGAATAAAATACTCAGAGGGCTGGCTAGCTGGTAGGCTCTCTCTCACAATGGTGGTATACAGGATGGAATGAGGCTTTTGCACTAGCCTAAATAAGAAATAATTAGGAACCAAACTACACGTTAGTTGCAAAGAAAGAACAAATAAAAGAGGTAGAGAAGCAAACATTGAAGAAAGTTGAATTGACATTAATTTAATAAATGGTTGAATATTGATGGCTATTGTTGAGTTTGAGGTACAGGTGTAATAGTTCTGGATGATTCATAATTTGTTCGAAAACAAGCAAATAACGTATAATACACAAAAATAATTAAAAGAAGCCCTGCTAGAATATTATACAAAAAATAAGGCATTATCATTACTATGAAGTAGGAGAAAGAGAAATATTTTGGATCCTGTGAATTGTGCTCAGAAAAAAAAGAAGCGGCCCTGCTAAGTGGATAAAGACTGTGGCTCTTGAGAAAAAGTTAAATTGTTAATCATCAAAAACAACCAAACCGGCAGTTTTTACTTGGCACTAAAGAAACACTGGTGATAAAATGAGACAATACCTAGGAATGGTTCCCTTCAGCCTATGAAAAGAAAGAAAGGCTTCTAGTTGACAAAATGTCATGTGCAACGAGCACTGGCACTGTACACAGTTAAAGGAGGGCCTAAGCAGACATGGAACCACATGGTCAAGGCCAGTAAATCCCACTAGCCAGTTGTTAAGAAAGCAGTGTATGATTTGAGGACTTCCACAGAGGAGGAGAACCAATCATTAAATAAATACGGCTCTATCCACTGAGTCAGCTCTATGTTATGGGAAGGGTCAAATTCCAGAAACTTCAGTATACAAAAGAGGAGTTGGAAAAATTTTTGCCTAAAAACTCCAAGTAACATGTATCAGTCTGTTTCAAACTAACATTATTGCACAGCCCATTTGAAGGCACACTATTTCAAAAAAAAAATGGTGCCACTTCTTCATAAGAATTAAAAAAAAAAAAAAGTTAGCTAAGACTAATACCCCTTTAAAAAAAACATTTTTCTTTTACATGATTCATAGAAATAATTCTAATGCTTTGAGTCAAAAGGCCTAAATATTATCCACTTTTGATCTGCTATCATGAAACATAGTTCTCTCAGAAAGAGATGAATTTGAAGACCTCTCTACAGATGAATTTTCTACAAATGAAATTAGTTTATGGTGTTTAAATTAGGCTTCAAAGAATCACTAAGGCAAGAAACAAAATTTTACAAAAGACATGACTTCAAAGTGGAATCCACATGTCCTAGGTTTCTGAAATTCCTCATTATTTATTCAATATGCTGCTATGCTCTTTCATACCTTTCCCTTGTACACCCACAGAGGCTACAGCAAACAATCAGACACATTACTAATTAACTATTCCTATCCCTGCCCTTATTACTAGGTGATGCTGTATATATTTATTGCCTGTCTTCCTCATTAAAATATAATCCTTGTGATGGCAGTGACTGTGTGTTTTTAACAAATGTATCCCCTACTAGTACCTATAACACTGCCTATCACATAACAGGCATTCAATGAGTACTGATCAATATATCTATAGGGAAGACAACAACTACAGTCACAAACAGGTTCAAGCAACCACAATATACCCTGCTTGAATCTGCAACATTTTCCAAAATCCGTTTCATCTTTGATAGTGTCTCCTTCTCTGAAACTGCAGAAAATACAGGTATCTTTGAAATGTTAGAAGCAGCTCAGTGACTCCACAGAGGCACCCTTCAACACAACTCAGCATCTAGTCTGAACTTGTAGAAAAGAGTACAGGTGACCAAAGTCACCTCAGCACACACAAGACAGAAACAGATGGATGCTCCCCACAATAAAAGCATATACACAGTATAAAACATGCCAAGAAGGGATGCTACAAGACTTATTTAGTGCTCACCATGAGCTTTGGTGACACAGAAAACATTACAAAGGTGTGGCAATACAATACCTCAAAGACAAGAATCAGTTTGTGACCCTGATGTAATGAGAATTCCAGGGACCACTGACACTCTCCACTTACAAAGCAAAGCATGGAACAGACCCGAAGTATCAAATGCCCTGTAACAAAGAGAAACTGACATGATATGTCCTGAGCTGTCCTCCCAGCTGTCCCTTCCCCATTAGTACCACAGTGCAGGTAGGCATTTCTTTCACTTAAACACTTTTTTCCATATTGTCTACCTTCTTCATTAAAGTAGTTTACCTCTTGCCCTGTAGCTGCTTCCATATCAAGAAACAGATCAAGAAGAGATCGGACCAGACGAGCTGCTTTAGCCTTGCTGATGGAATTCAAGAAGGGTCGTACATACTTCAGGAGTCCTCCAAGCTCTGTGTGGAAGACAATTCAGAAAAGAAACAGTTAACATCAATATTAGGGACAAAATATCCATTAAAAAAATGATCAAGATCATAAAACCAGTACTGTCACTGGAATCAGTCTAAATGAAACTTAGTAGGAATTCAAAGCATTCTTAGCAGGTAACAGAGTAGCAAAAATAAGTAAACAACATATACCAAATTTGTATTCTATTCCTCACTCAGCCACTGGATTACTATGAGGGCCCTGGAAAAAGCTTCTATCTCTCTGCCTCGTTTATCCATCTTAATGAAAGATAAACAGCAAGGTACTCATAATTTCAAGAGAACAGTTTTCTAGAACATGAAATATGCTGGGTCTCTGCCACCTCACACAAAATCATTGCCTCACAACCAACAAATCTGATCAGGTTATAGGAGTAATTTCTTTTTTTTTTAAATTTCTCAGTCTGCCTTAGCAGTTGCTCTAAACACAAAGAGATTTTCCATTCCAGGTTCACCTTTTCCTCCCTTCCTGACGTACTCCTCAGTTTACCCTTCTAGCAGTGTCACTTCCCTAGCACTTTTGTGAATAAACTTTTCACATGTAAGTTAAGGTGTTCTTCTCTTAAAGTTACATGCTTTAAAATTCCTCATTAACCTGCCAAACCTAAGTATTAAACTATAACCAAACAAGGTGTCCACCACAGAGGTGTTTTCCCCCTGTATAAGAAAACAAACTGGTACAGTAATTTTAAGGGAGCATCTTCAGAAACACTAATAAAGATTAAGAGAATATTTCAACAACTAAGTAAGTACTTTTGGAAAGTAGGTTAAAATTACTTTAGTGCCACTGCCTCTTTAATATTCTCCAACTGTAGACTCACCCTCCTGAGAACTGTAATTCAGGGCAAGCAAACCTTACCCTCCTGAGAGTGCTAATTCAGGGTCCTAAAATCCTCATCTGCCTAAATAGTCACAGGTTGCATGGGACTGTGTCAGGTACAAAACAGACTTTCTATATAGTGGAAAAATTCATCTTTCCCTTTATTCCCCAGTACTGATCTTTGATAGGTCCCACTATCTAAGATTTTTTTCCCATTCTGCCACTCCATTTACTCTGTATAGATTAAACACATTCCTGTTTTCATGACTTCCTTATGCTGCATTCCCATCTGGAATTTCTCCCCCATCTTCTCTACCAATGTAAAATCTTGGATATCCTTTTAGGTCCAGCTAAAGTCCTATTGAGTCATCCATGCCACTGATTTCTCCCTTTCAAATTCCTTTTGTACATATGCAAATTTCAATTATATTATAAAACTGTAGCTTTTTAAAAGCAGTCTAGTGCAATGTGCCTTCTCCCACATCATCTCCTACTATGCCTGAAAAATTCTGAACAATTTTTAATGAAAGAAATGTTCAAAAGCAGACTATTCCAATGTTGATCAAATTAAACTGATCTTTTTAAAACAGAAGTCTATATCCTCCTTCAACATGGCTTCAAATATTTGAAGACAACTATCATTTATATCTAACTTTCCCTTTCTCCAAGCTGAACGCCTTTAGCTATTTCAACTGTCCCTCTGAAGCCTGGTTTCTAGATTCCTTATCACTTGGTTGCCCTACTCTGAAGAAACACTAGTTTGCAAATGTACCACTCGTAGTAGCCAGAACTAAAAACAATGCTCCAGGTGGGGTCTGACCAGTAAAGCCATGGCTTAATTCTCTCGATCTGGCCCCTCTCTAGATCTGGTAACACAAGACAGCATGTTTTGCTTTTTCTTATAGCACTCTTTGTTCAGACTGAGTCCGTTAAGATCTTTTTTGCATAAACAGATAATTCCCCACCCTCTGTGTTGATAAATACTTTAAGTATATAACTTTATACTTACCACACTTGAATTTAATCTTGCTGGATTTGGCAATAACTCTGAATCTTAATTCTGTCCTCTACCGTACTGAGCCATCTACAAAAATAAGCATGCCTTCTGAAATGGCTTTGGCCATAATGCCAGACACTGACCAGAAGAACAAGGACATACACCTATCACGAGATGCTAGACCTCCCTCCAGGTCAACAGATAATGCATCTGTCATGATAAATGCATAACTTACACCTGTCATTAAATTACAGCACATGTTCACATATCCTGCTTACATCAGAAAAGTAATATATATTGTTCCTCTAACCCAGGGGTTGGCAAAGTTTCTGTGAAGAGCGAAATAGTAAATATTTTAGGCTTTGCAGGCTGTGGTCTCAGTGGCAGGTAGGCCATTGTAGTGCAGAAGCAATACATATATAAACAAATGGATGTGACTTGTTCCAACAAAACTTTACTTACAAAAATAACTGGCAAGCCATTGTCTATGAAGCCCTGCAAATCTACTGGGCTGATAACACAAACCAAAGATAACTAAGGTGGCTATGAAATAGTCTTTTCTTATTAAAGTGATTTTAAGTGATTAAAACCTCTTTATCAAATAGTCTGTTCTAGAACTTTATTGATGATTATCAGTTCATACTATCTAGAATTTTTTTTCATTACCTTCTTGAAAACTGGAATAATGTTTTGCCCATTCTCAGTTTCTTTATACACTTCCATCTTCCATGATTTTTCTCAGAATAATAATAGTAGCTCTATAAATACATCTGCTAGAACTGTTCTTTTGATATTAAAAGACAGAATTTGTCAGAGCCTAGAGATTTGAACTTATTTAAAGAGACTATCTCCTATCTCTTCTCTCACCTACCTTGGCTTTAATTCTCTCTGATGTTACTTCTATCTTTTCTTTTTGAAAATCATTTTCCTTCCTGGAAAAGGCAGGAGCAAAACATGGGCTAGACAGTCTGCCTTTCTCTCTAGCACCTGCTAGAATCACAGTATTTTCTCCAAACACTCGGTGTTATTCTTCTTACCCTAACAGAGAAACAAATGGCCTCTTAGTTGCCAAAAGACTCAGTTCATTTTTCAATTTAGTCTGCTACTGTTTCTTATTCTTTCCTCATTACATTGTTTCTCTCCATGTTGATACACACTGAATTAACTTTTTTTTAATTCCCATAGAATCATATTGACCTCTTCCTCTTATTTTCACTAAAATTATTTGCAATTATATGTCCAGAACTTCCTTTTTAGGATTTCACAGAACTAAACCTAATCCTTTTAAGAGTCTCAGGCTATGAAATCTGCAAATTCCAAGCCCAGACATCATGTTTGATGATGTTCAGCACTACTTTCAATCACTATTATGCATCAGTGCTGTCTAATTCACTAATTCCCAAGGGACTGCTTCTGGTTAGGGATCCTACCAAACTTTTTGAGTAGAGTACTTAGCATGCTGCTAGCTATATATTAAACACACAATAAAGCAAAATTGAAGATAATGGAACAGACATGTTTTCTGTCCTCAAGGAAACCAAAAATCAAAGGAACACAAACCTGTCAATTATTAATAGCAAAGACAGGTAAATGAATGTAGGCCTCAAGACTTCCTTAGGGTTTCTATTATATATACCTATACTCATCAAACTCTTTCTTAGAATCCAATGTTAACTGGAAAAGTTTTTGAAAGTCTTTATGATTCACCTGTTAAATCCCAATAGGTTTAGAAGTTTACACTTCTAACCTTCTCAGGTATTGGGTCACAAGGAGGGGAGGGCAAGGCCTTAGAAGAGAGAAAAGCACAAAATAGGAATTTAAAACAAAACAGTACACATTTTTGGATAAATTTTCTGAAACAGTGACTATACCACATGACATTTTAAATTATCCATGCTACTGGGGAAAACACATTTCAACATGTTGGATATGTCAACAACAGAAAAAACTTAAATCACTTTACCTGGCTTTCTAATTCTTTCAGTAAAAATATTTTATTAGTTACATTTTGTATGGACTACTTATTCAAACTATTTTGCAACCCCCAAGCTGACACTGACAGGCAAAAGGACTACATAAATACATTAAATAGGAGGGAATTCAGCTTAAAATGAAAAGGCTAGCACCTACCACTGATAATCCATAAGCAGATGTAACTGTAAAAAGCAATAACCATTATACCATGAGGCCATGGGCTCTGAAGTGGGACTACAGGAGTCTAAATCCTGACTCTCTTATGTGCTAGCTGAGTCATCTTGGATAAATTATTAAACTTTTCTGTATACAGTTTCCTCAAATGTAAAGGGGATTACAGTATCTACCTTATCAAGTTGTTTGAAGGATTGTTTGGGTTTAAAACAGCAACTAGTTCATGGTAAGCATTCAAAAACTATTTTCCTTATTACAGATAGTTTTAAATGCTATTTTAAAAAAAGATTCATGAATCACATAAACACATCCTCCCAATTTCATACATAGTTACTCAGCTTTCTATTAACTGAGCCCAATAATTAATAAGCTATTCACCCTTAATTAGGAAACATCTCAGTTCTCAAGTAACTTTTGCTAGCTTCCACCTATAGTTCTCTTGGATAACAACATAATTTTGGGGAAAAGAATTCAAAGGTCACTTACTTATCTTAATCCATTCTAATCAGATAAGGTCTAAATTCACTTTAAAGTTTACAAAAGCCATCCATTTTAAGTTTAAGCCAGCTTCTCTATAAATAATATTACCACTTTACTGGTCAAAGGCCCTTTCTGGTCAGCAGGACTTTCACTCCAAGGACAAACCCATCAACAGAATATCATCTCCAGCCTAGAAATTCAACAGTTCAGTTACAACTAAAGTATTTGGGCAATTACATGCACAAAGTCCTAGGTACCAGTGAAGACATTTTGGGAAGGTTCTTTCCATTTAATATCTTACTCATTCTGTATCAGAAATAAAAGACAGCAAGTCTTTTACTTGGATAGCAAATCCCTAGTCATTTGCAAGTCAGGGACCTAAAGTCACTATCCACTTTCCATACATCAGAGCTGCCCGGTGAAGTAACTGAAGACTGCTGCTGCCTGTACATATGGGAATACAGTGTAAATTCAAACCAGGAACAAATCACAGATCACTATATCCCATCAGGAACAGGACTTTTCCTCACCTGCAGAACAAAAACTCTTTCATGAAAAGAACTGAGTTGAACAACCACTTAACTTCCTGCTACAAAGCTTAGGCTCAGTAAGTTGGCAATAAAATTGAATTATACCACCAATAAAGTGTGGATGCATTCCTAATGTTCCTTTACTCCAACAAAAACTTGACACTTGACCCAGCATTTCAGGTAAAAGAGAGAGCAACCCACTGGCAGCACTTACCTGCAGCTTGTCCAGTCTTTGCCAGGAGAGACCCCAGTTCCAGGATGCTCTGCTCTTTGACCTGCACTGCCTCCTCATCATTCTCCTGAATGTCACGCTTCACTGGAAGAGGAAAATGCAAACCTTCTTAAAATTCTGATAAAAAGTGAAGACTGGGGGAAATTTCACCCTCACGAGACATTACAAACTCAAACAGTTAATAAAAGACAAATTCTAGAGAGCTTTAAATAAAAAGTAAAATTATCATGTAGGACATGTCCCATGTAAATCACAAAAATAGATTCCTCTGTGATTTTAAATGTCCTTTTTTTCAGTCTACCAAGTAGAATTTTCTTTACCCACATACACTAAGGTTTCTGTTGCAGTCACCTGGTTAAAGCAAAATTCAAACAAAGCAAGTTCTTCATACTTGGGGTGGTAAAGCTCCATGCTAGGCACTACCTTATCTAAAAATAGGAAACATACGTATGCATTTACCTGCCACAAACTAAAATCAAATAACCAAGTTATTGATGAGTATGAAGTCAAAAGTCTGCTAAGAATAAACTTTAGGCCTATGGAAACCCTCAGCTTTAGGTGTGTTAAGGATAAGGAATCCTACAAAGCCATTCAGGAAAAACAACCCAATCAAAGCGCCAGTGTGATCCTTAGGAGGGACTGCTCCTTTAGAATGGACTCAGAACCTATTAAAATAACTTTGTGCTATCTGCCCCACTTTCAACAGTTAATAACTATTCTACCACTCCAACACTGAAGAGCCTCTCCAACTTTGTAGTGATAATTTTAGTGATCATCACTAGTTATCACTTTTCTTAAAAGCATCATGACTTGACAAAAACCAAGATTTTGATACTCCATGATGGAGTCCGGAAAAAGTAAGGCAGTCAAGCATCATGACTCAAGCTTGCTCTAACAGGGAACCTTTAGGGAACTCTCCTAGTACAGTGGGCAAGCAAGAAATACTCTAATGACAGTATTTACCATAATTTCCACATTATAAAAGACAAAATATTAGGCACTAGGCACACACAGACACAAATCATGCTCATATTAGTTCTAAGTATTACTGTGTACTCACAGAATAAAAATACATAATTAGCAGTGACTGAGATGACTCTGGTTCTGTAACTGTAACTGAACTAAGTCAAGATCAGAACTTCAAAATGAAACACCCCTTATTTACCAATATCATCCATTCACCGATGCAGCTTAACCCTCACCTCCTCTCCTTCTCGAACACTCCCAAAGATAAAGACATTAAGGTCACTGTCCTTTCTCCATGCAAGTCAGAAGTACCAAAACTCAACAGACATTAATAAGCCAACATAAAAGCCAACATTCTGGAGGTCCCACATCCAAGTGCATTCTCATACTACTTGTTGATTCAATTCGAATCTTTTAAAGCTACATTAAAAAGATCATATTAGTACATGTTAAGAGTTAGCCCATGCCTTAACTGAACCCTTTATGACTGAACATTAAAAGCCATCTCTGTCATCATAAGTCTATTTCTGTTCACACCTGAATCCCGGTAAAAAGCTGTCAGAAGCGACTGGCTAAGGCTCCCATTTCAGTTTCCTTGCTTTGTGCAAGATGTAAAACAATCATATTGCAGCCTTAAGAAAAATTTCCATCATTTTCTCCGGCAATATGCAGCCGGTCGATTCCAGAGTTCCCTAACTCCGCGGCTGACAACTAACTCCCCCAACTCACTTCCAACCTCTTACCGGGAGACTAGACGATCAGTCACCTCCACCAGCCGGGCAGTCCCACCCCAACATCTCGCTCTTACACTCTACACGGGGGCAAAGGAAGCTCTCGGTCACCTCCTCAAACCAAACGCCAACCCGAGATGTGTGGTCCCCCTTTAACGCAGCTTTCCGCCGCGGCGCACGGAAGAAGTAGCAGCTCCCAACGTCCCGCGTAAGGAAACTCCAGGAGCAAAGCGAGCGCTCGCGCTCCCACCCGGAGGAGCAGTGCTGATGATAACGGCGGGAAATGCTTGTCTGCGGCGGGTTTCGCCAAGGCCCTTACTCGAGACGCAGACCAGGTCGGAACACGCCGCCGGCGGCACGGCTCCGCTCCCGGCCACGGGCCAGCCCGCAAGGGCCAGGCGGGGAATGAGGGTGGGAGAGGCGGGGAATGAGGGTGGGAGCGGCGGGGCCCGGCTCGGCCCGCTCTCCTACCCCAGGCTGGCCCGCCGTGAGTCAGCAGCCAGCGAGGGGGCGCCGGGGTGCCTCGGGGCTTCCTACCGGGGCGGGACCCGGGGGCTCCGGGAAGTCCTAGCGGCCTGTGCCCCGGCCCGTCCCCCTCACACAGTGAGTCAGCAGCACCGGAGCCGGCTAACCCGGCCCCGCTCCGCCGCCGCCGCCCGACACAAGCCAAGCGGTTCCCGCAGGGCTGGGGAGGGGGCGCGGCGGCCTTTACCTATGGAGTGCAGGATGTCGATGGACGCCTCCCGGTCGGTGCTGAGTAGAGACTGGGCTCTCTGGAACTCCACCACCGCCGCTGCCGCCATCTTACCGCTTTCAGACCGTCCCGGCCGCGGCCGCCGTCGCCGGAAATACACGCCCGGAAGATCCGCCCTCGCACTCCTCTTCTCCCTGGGCCCCCAGCCTCGGTTTCCAGAGCACCACGGGAGTCGTAGTCTTTCTGCCGCGCTGGGGACGAGGGTAAGGGTGAGGGCTGGGGCGCCTCCCTAGAGGGCTGCAAGCTCCGCAGCGCCGCCTAGCGGCCTGTCGGCGAGTAAAGGTGGTGCCTACACATTCTATAGGCGGGGCACGGGGAAGGCAGTATAGGACAGTGAAGACAGTCACTCTATAGCATCTTACGCTGATGGACAGTGACTGTAATGGGGTATGTGGTGGGGACTTGATAATAGGGGGATTGTAATAACCACAATGTTGCTCATGTGAAACCTGAGCATAAGATTGTATATCAATGATACCTTAATTAAAAAAAAAATATATATATATATATA